ACATTAATATAGCACTATAGGCGTTACAGTCTTCAAGGTACCAGTACCTTCAGGTTTGCCCGGTAACATATGTATTTTTTACACCTTTCGATTCGTCAGAACCTCTAGATTCAGAGTATTATATATTTTGCAGATCGATTTTGCTTACTTCAGGAGATACTGCTGTTTTGTTGAATCTATCTGAAAGCTATGTGTTCCTTCAAAAGCAACCTTCAAAAATACTTGGAAATGCTGGTTTAGTTTGGCAGTTCTTAACCTAGTTGCTCTCGGTACTGTTAGTTCGTTGGAATGTCATGTACTCAAAAGCACGTCTATTCCTAACTTTTTAATGCAATACTATATGAGACGATGAAAAATGTTTGGAACTGTTGAACGAGGCATTTTGTGCTTTTTAAAAGGTTGAAATTCTGTTCAAAAATGTCCGGTATATTGTATGATTAGAGACGAACCGCTGCTGTTAAGCTGTACCGTTCGAGAATGATTTTTTCACTCGGTAAAGTCGTCGATTAAAGGTGTTAATAGAAAATACTTTGATTGTGTGGCGCATTTGACTTGTTATGAATATACGTTTATTTGACTAGATAAAATAAATTGATATATACAAAACACATCATATCGAGCAGTAATAACAACACATTAATAGCAACAATAACACAAAAAAAAACAANATAAAATCACTAAATTAGGCAGAATTCAGCATGATGTGATAGCCAATCACTTGTCGCACCATTGGATGAGCATTTATTAACTAAGGGGATCGCTAGAGAGTGGATCAACTGCAAGACGGGTCGTGATCCACTCCATTCAGGCACATTCACTCACAGTGCATCACACATAGGTCATCGTATGAATACTTTGAGGTTGCTGAGCAAATACAGCCAACGGCAACGGATGTCCTTGGTTATCGACACGATTCGATGAGTCTCTGAAATGAGGCGATCGTGATTTGGTTGGAGATATCGTAAACGATATAGATAGAGACAGTAGTACCTTGATATTCATGTTTTTCTTAACAGCCAGCAAGATTTTGAGATGACCGAAGCCTGTTGAGGAGAATTGGAAACGATAAATCCAAATTTGAAAATCACTGAGCGCATAACTAACTCACCGTTGTCTGTGGTGCAGTCGTGGACTGTTCCATAACCTGCTTGGTGCCGTACCATAGCCACTCTCTCGACCATTTTCACCCGAATGCCTTGACTTACGATCTTCATCTATAGAACTGAAAAGCTGAATCGAATGGAATTTATCTGTTTTGATAGTGGTTCTCGTAAGGGGTAAAATTACCCATTTTGAGTAATCTGGAGGTGTCAAGGGATAATGGAGGGGA